AGTCATATATATAATAGTCATATATATATATATATATATATGTATATATATATATATATATATATATATATAGTGTAGCCATATGCTAATGAAAGAAACTAGAGGCAGGGGCGCATGTGACCTATTGTCTTTTTCTTTCAGTGTGTATGTGAATCTATCTTGTCTATCTGCCTACCTATTTATCTGTATCAATCATCTCTCTGCTTTCCATATAATTTTTCTAAAAATGAGTCCAAAGTGATAGAAATTAGGTCAGTGGTTTCTTGGATAGGATATAAGGAATGGACTTCAGAGTGGTGTGAAGAACATTGTATAATAATGGAAATATTCTTTAGCTTTGTTATGATAATTATATGAGTTTATGTACCATGTACATATATGTTTTATGAAAGTTGACTTTTAAAATAAGAAATATGTATACTGTCAAATATTAGAATGCAAAAGATAAGTCACAAGAACAAAGTAGCCCTTGGAAACTTTTATTGGCCTATTTTAGTTTCCTAGGATTATCGATACAAAAATAACATGTAAAACAATGAAGTTAATCAGTATAACTACATACATAGATATATTTAGCTAAACTACTCTAGATGTAGTTTCTACCATATAAAAAGCTTTTAAGTTCTTTACAATATTGATGGCAAATAATCATATTATGAGCATTACATAAATTTCCTAAATAAAATAATATAGAGATAACTATATCAAAATACAGTATAAAACATAGAACTGAATGACTGAAGTATAATTATAAAAATTATTTTAACTGCCAGCAGTTCAGTGTCCAAGTGGGTTCCATAGTAATGGGAAGAGGGACTGTCTCTGACATGAACTGATTGGCCTGCTCTTTAATCACCTACCCCTGAGGGGAAAGCAGCCTTACTAGGCCACAGAGGAAGATAATGCAGCCACTCCTGATGAGACCTGATAGACTAGGATCAGAAGGAAGGAGAGGAGGACCTCCTCTATCAGTGGACTTGGGGAGGCACATGGGTGGAGAAGGGAGAGGGAGGGTGGGATTGGGAGGAGAGGAAGGAGAGAGCTACAGGGGTGATACAAAGTGAATAAACTGTAATCAATAAAAATAAAAATTAAAAAAAAGAAAAAATAAAACTTGGTTAAAATTTATTTTAAATGATAAAATGTTCTACTTAATAATTTTTAACTTAAACTGGAAATCAAAACAAAAATGATAGTCTAAAATAGCAATGCCAAATGGTCATCCCTGAAAACACATATACCAGCAGCATTACAGATTGAACAGGTTATATTTAAAATATAAATGTATTTATGTGTACATGTATTCATGTATAACAATGAATAAAAAAATAGGCCATCAATTTGAAAGAGAGCATAGATGAGTATATGGGTGGGTTCAGAGGGATGAGAGTGAGAAAACATAATTATAATCTAAAAATAGAAAAACAATATGGTACATTTCAAAACATGGTATATTGTTAAAAATGAACTCAAAAGGTAAGATAAAATTAAATATTTTGCAATTAATTAATTTAATAAATACTTTTTGAAGGCCTACCATGACTTAATGGAAATAACTATAAATATATATATGACTTCCCCTTTCAGTTATATGCTAGTAGAAGAACACAGAAAAGATGTAAGAAATATATTTATTTTAGAAAGTGCTAAGTTTTGTGAATACAATTAAATTTTAATATAGTAGCTAGCACATGAACAAAGATGGCAAGGTATTCTGTATATGCTGAAGGCATCTCTGGAAAGTTGGTGTCTGGGCAGTCTTGAAAGAAGAGAGCATCTGGAGTCAGTCATGTACACACTGAACCAGTCATTCAAATGGAGTTTGCCTGCTACAGTCAGGTGTGGTAAAACAGATATTTCTAAAAAGTGTCCAAGGAAGCGAAAGTGGATCAGACATTGGTGGGAAGAAAGGTGGGGGGAATGGTTTGGGGTCAGATTGTGTGCTATCTATAAAGCCACTGTGAGTGAAGCCAGGGAGTGTTAGAAAGCTTTGCGTAGAGCATGTACAAACTCTGACTTACCACTTAAAAGGTACACTCAAAAGCAATGTCTCCTGTAACCCTTCTGCTCATGCTACTGTAATAATACCACATGTGAGTGGCTGAAACAACAGACTTTAGTGTCACATGTGAAGGCTGGACATCAAAACCATAGTCTCAGGGTGGGTATCTGCTGAGGCCTCGCTTCTTAGATCACTGTGCCCTCAGCTGGAATCTTCTCTTTGTATAAGGAGAGTGCTAGAGAGCATTTCCTTGTCTTAAAGGATAGCAGCCCCATCAGATTGGAACTACCTTTGGCACCCCACTTTACCTTAGTTAGCTCTACCTTCAAATGTAGTCACTTTGAGGCTTAAGGTTTTCACATCTGAACTTGAGAAAGACACAGTTTAACCTCCCAAACCTTATGATGTATTTTTCTGTTGTCACAATAACACAAGAATAAGCTTAGTGTTGTGACTTGTGAACATTCTTTTTCCTGCTTGTGGGTTTGTGGGTATTTGCTTGGAGGTGAACTCTAGTGGTCCTGGCTATACTTGAGTTCACACCAAAGGTTAGAATTAGCTCCATACCTCATTTTGAATAATATGGCAAATAATAATTTGGCAAAGCATGGCGCTGGGGTGTGTTCATTTCCTGACGACAAAGGAAACTCAAGAGCATGAAACTCAACCACATAAACACATTTCAAACTTCTGCTTGTTGGAAGACTACAATATTCTTTTAGCCAAAACATGTCACACGGTAATGCCTAGAGTTGGGGGCCAGAGGAGTCAACTTCACTTATCCATGAGACCATGGCAATGATGACAGTACATGATAATTCTGTAGTGTGATGAAGGGCTGGGAACACTTACCCATTTAGCCACAACATATCCACTGTATCTCTGACTGTTTATTGGCATTGGAAGACCTCTCTTTCCTGTAGCGATCCATGTAGCAAATGAGGATTACATCCACAGTAAAAATAGTTGTTCCACGTGGTGTGATGTTGCCTGGTGTGCTGCTAGCATCTAATAATTCTTGGGTTTCTGAACCACTGAACCTGATGCTGTTTGAGGGTTCAAGTTAATTACTCTTTTGCTCTATGGACCCCTGAGTCATCTTGGAAGTAACCACAGGATTCTGGGGTAAATTTAGTGTAAGTATGTAGTAACCCTAGATATAAGACTAAAATATTTTTTGTTTTCCTTACTTTTAACTTCTTTACCTAATCATAGATATCATACCTAGTGTGTTCCTTGCCGCCTTTGTGTTGACCATAATTAATCAAATGGATAAAAAGGGTGGGGTTTGACTGTGTCCAAAATGAAATACTGTGCTAGGCAGGAAAAGAGAATTATTAACAAACTCGTGGTCACTGAAGATTCTAGTCAGTTGAGGGATTCCTATGCAAGAGATAACTGAAGGTATCTTGGGCAGTTAAGACCAAAGAAAACCAGACCAGAATAAACATGAGAATTGACCACAAGCATAAAAGAGAAGATTTAACTGCATCACTCAGTCACCAATTCAATACCTATTTGTTGAGTGCCACCTTGCTCCAGACACACTATTCCGCATATTGGAGAAGAACGATTAATAAAATGGACTACTGCTACTGATATGTATCTCATTTATGGTGAAGGGCACAAACAATAAGCAAAGTAAGAAACACTATGGTATGGTAAAAGATTAAGTGGTAAGGAGAAATCCAATAAAACAAAGAAAGGTGGTAAGATGTGTTGGGTGCAGTTTCAGAAAAGATGACCAAAGTAACATTTGAGTGAAGATAAGAAGGACCATTAGGGAAGAGTGTTCTGCACAGAGTGACACTAGCCAATGTAAACTCACAGTGGTAAAGGCTATGATATAGAAGTCAAAAAATAGTACTAAAGCCAATGTGGGGGAGGGTCAGAGATGCAACTAGGCAGATGATGGGACTGGATATGAAAAGAAAAGCTCAATTTGGACTTTTAAGTTACTGTAATGTCTTAAGTGTTTTCTTGTTTGTTTGTTTGTTTGTTTGTTTGTTTTTTCTGGAGAGGTGAGGTGTCATTGAAGTATTTTAAAGACAGGAAAATTGGTTGTAATCTACCCTTTACAATGACAGCTGTGGTACTGTGTTCAGTAGACTGGAAGAAGGAAGGAACATAATTCTGTATGTGCCTAAGAAAATAATCAAGGATAGAAGAGGCTGAGCTTTCTAAATAACTGATTACCTGACTTGATTGCCAGTGAGACTGGCTACCCACTCATCTTGGAGTTTTCACTTAGCAGCTCCCCACTGCTGGTAGGTCCCAGCAGACACCAGGGATATTGTTACTGGCAAATGCCTACATGAAACAGAGCATCAGAAACAATGACATCCCAGCTACCTATATGTAGCAAGTCTGTGATTCTGTAGTACGTATCATCGTATCATCTCAGTCTCCCCTAAGCAGAATGTAAATGCCATGTGGGCAGGAATTTTTATCTGGTCTGTTTATTGCTCAAAATTTCCAGTACCTAGAATAGTGTCAACATATAGCGGTCAGTAAGCCAATGTTTGTTAAATGTGCAAAATGTCAGACTTGTTGCAGGACCTTAAGTAAGACTCTCTTATGTGTTTCACATAAATCAAAGTGGGCCTGGATGGCATTGATGAGCATTCTAGATTGGCTAGCCTTTGGTTAATATTTAAACTCCAAGCTACCATTTCTAAAGGTCTTTGTAGGCCAAGAGGTGCAAGAAGGGGACTTTAATGGGGAGAAAAGGCAAGGGTGAGTAAGGGCAAACCTGAGAAATGAAGGAGCATGGGTACCGCTGGGGCTGGCAAACAGGTCACTCTCCAGAAATAAATATGCATTGTTCTCGTTGACATACATAACATTCTCATAAATGATGGGGGTTAACCAGAAATGCGGCAATCTAAAACACCAAGAATCACCCAAGACCAATGCCTTTGCTTCAACAAAGTACTCACAGACCTCCAAAGCTCTCTTGGCAAAAACAGTATAAGTAACAACAAACACTCCACTTGAGGATATTGAAAATACATTTTTTTTTAATTTGATTAAGTTCACAAGTGACAACACTGACATTTCTTTAAACATATGGTTCCATTAAGCCATAATATATACCATGTGTCCCCAGAAGACCAAGAGGCAGTGGCTTCATATCCCCTTGAGGTTTATCAGAGTTGACAGCATCCACAGGATGGTTTGCAGGGACCAGGTTTGCTACCAGATCAGCTGGAACCATGCTGTCATGTTTATTGGCTACAGAATCACATACAGCACGATGCACAATTATAATGAGCTTGCTTTCACTTAGTTTTAGTTCCTGTCAAAGGGAGAAGGGTTTTCAATACCAAGAAGGATGCAAATATGTGTCTTCCATCAGCCTTTCTTGCACATGACTTTAATTACATGTGAAAACAATTAGAGCTTATCTTTACTGTAACCTAGAAGGGAATAAAAAGAACAAAGTTTAGAAATTGATTGTCAAGCTCTTGACATTATTTCATTTAATTTGCTATTAATACTAGTAGGTCCTGTTGCTGTCCCCAATTTATAAAGGAAGAAACTTGAAACTCAGTGAGAGTTAAGTGGTTATATACTTTGTAGAGAGCAAATACAGTTCTTAAGCCTATGGCTGCTCTTTCACTGTAGTGTGTACTAAAAGGATGTCATTGACTTTCAAACCCATATGGCAGAATATTTACAATTATAGTGATGAATGAAAAGGATCTATTTCCAGGTCCTAGAGCACAGCATCATAGGAGAGAGCAAAAAGGCAGGGCAGGCAAACTAGGAGAAGGGAAGGTTAGGGGAAGGAGGTTAAAAAAAAAAAAAAAGCTATAAGATGGAATTTGATTCATGGGCCCAGTGAGGTTCAGAGTATAGCTTATATCCCTGAGATATGTGGACATCCATTTGAATGAAGGAAGTCACCTTCACTCTGGGGCTATTATCTGCTCAGGCCTGAAGTTCTCTGCGGCGACGGCCAAAGGCTTCAGAGCCCACATTGGTGGGCACGAAGTTCTCCTTTACCACACCTCCTGATCTGCTCAGCAAGCCTGCCAGCCGATGGGTCACACAGGTGGCAGTGTTGCAAGATCTCTTCTGGGTAGTGATGCTGATATTCAGGAGGGAAGGAGGGAAGGAGGAAGAAAGGGAGAGAGGGAGAGAGAGAGAGAAAGAGAGAGAGTCATTGAGGTTGGGGAGGTGTCTGCCCCATGAGACTATCATGGGAATATTGCTTTCAGAAGCACCAATTAACTTTATGTGTTTTTCCCAAACATGGTTATCAGAACAAACAATCACAAGCCATTAGGGGAAATGCTGTGATCACTTTCTTTAGATATTCCCAGGAGCATTAGAAAACCCAGATGGGGTTTTGGGCCAACTGGTCATGGGACACAGCCAACCATGGCCATATAAATAAAAATAAGCAAAGATGTATGAGTTTAGGGTGAATTTTGATGCCACCTCTGAGCCCATTCACGAGGACTGTAGAATCCAAGTCCCAGTCAGACCCAAATGTCCCTCCTTAGTAAAGTGAAAGCATGTCTTACCTGAGGAAGAACGGAGTTTGGAGCATCCAGTCCCAGCATTTGCTTACCTGCTACTTGGCACTGCTCTTGTTACTGCTTGAGCTGAGTCATGAGCACCACTCACCGGACTATGACTGGTTAAATCTTAGGGCTAAGACTACTTCTAACCACAGGTCCTGAATTCCATGGAGCCTGAGATGTGGGCTAGAGCAATGACCAACAAGGCTCAAGTCTTTTTAGAAAAATAGTTTTATTTCCCAAACAACGGACATTTTCAGAAGCAAGACCAAGGAGCTCTGCTAGGAAGCCAGAGGACTGCCCTTGCTCTCTGCCGTCTTCCTGGGTGATTCCCCTTTAGCCTGTGAGTCCTCCTTTCTCCTCACCCACTAAGGATTCCAGATACCACCCTTTGCCTCAGAAAAGCAACCAGTAATAGCCTGGAGAGCAACCAGAGAGGAACTACATGCATTAAATTATAGGAAGAAAGCAGGAAAGGAAACGAGAAAGGAGAGGGGGAGCTTAGTTGCCAAAATGGGTGCGGTGGTTTGTCTCCAAGTCCTTGGCCATATCCCTTTTCTTGCCAGGTGCTCCAACCCCGATTGCAGTTTGGGGGAAGGTGTGAAACTTGTTGAGGTCTTGTGTGTATGTACCCAGCATGCAGGTACTTAGATTCCCACACCGCTTAGATCTGGGGCTGTCCAAGCTGCAGGGAAAAGACATGCGAAGGAGTACCATGCAGGAGGGGCTGACCCTGTAGGCAGTCAGCAGGTTAGACCAGTCACAGGACTGGAAGTTGGTCAGTTCATACATTCACTATATATTGGGAAAGCTTGGGGTGTGGTGGGTCAGGACAGTGTCGGGAAGGGCAGAGGAAAGGGTGACTTTTTTTTTTTTTCTGGCATTCCATGTGCTGTTCAATCTTTCATGTGTGGCAGGGCATTTCTCAGGGTGGATGCAGGTTACATGCTTTTCCTTGGGTAGTGCTGGGGCCAGGCCAGGGCTGGTCTGTTTCCAGGCTGGGGCACACAGGGAGGCAGGGGTGGGGAGGGGTGCTCTCCTTGGCCCTGTGACCACTATCATATCTCTGCAGAGGTCTCCAGACTTTAGGCTCTCCCTTTACCGGTTTAACTCATCCAGTGGCAGGGACTCTCCGCAGTACTACCAGGCCCATTTCTGCAGTGATTCCACATCTCCTCTTAAGTGCTTTCAGAAATAAAGCTTTTAAGTGTGCTTTAACCACAGCCTCACCAGATGAATTCTGTTGGAGCCTGAGAATAGCTGCGCCCCATGTCCAGCCAAACAGCAACCAGATGGCCAGTGTGTCCTCTCCTACCTCCTAGGCTGCCTTCCCCTGGGTATGCTAGCAGGGTGAGGAATCTTACCTGGACCCCTCAGCCTCCTGTTCCTCCTCCTGCTCCAGTTCCCTAGCTTTCATCTGCATGTAGTCCTGCAGCAGTGCAGCCAGCAGGTGAGCTTCCTCTTCACTGAGAGTGGCCGCGCCTGGGCTGCTTTCCAGGGTTGACCTGTGGAAGGGAAGGAAAGCTAGCACCGGTTCTTGATTCCCTGCCTGCCTCTGCCCCAGAGAGGCTCGAGCTGGGGTCCTCCTGGTGGTGCACCAGGGCCACTTTAGGAATTTCACAGCTTAACTGATAAGTGCAGCCATAATTACAAAAAATGAAAGCACAGTTAGTGTTGAATTTAAAATGGAGGCTCATTTTAATAAATACATTTTGTAAGTAGAGGAGAAATAGAACAACAGATCATAAGTTAGAGTCAGTAATATTTATTGGCAAGTTACCAGATTAGAGTGAAATTCGTATCTCGTGAGGGCTAAACTGAATAAACAGATTTGACTAGTGATACCAAATTTGGGGAGAAAAGCAGCCAAAGCATTTTGTTAGTTAAAGGACTACTTGAAATTTATAATGTGGGGTACTATACATCCTGTCGTTGCTTAAAAATTGTATATTTCCATCTTTATATCAGGGAAAGGTTGTAGTGAACTTGCATGTATATATAAATATGTATATATATATATATATATAAATTCCTCAAGAGAGTTAGTTTTTAAATATTGGTACTCTACAGCTAACTGACAGGAAGTTGTCCAATCCCTGGACAGTAGCGCTCCTGTCTTTAGACTTACCTGAAAGGCACTGCATGGAGGCTGCATGCCTGGTACAGGAGCAAGATGCTGATAGCCAGAAGAGGGGAGAACTTCAGAAAGCCCATGATGCCTCCCTGCAAGAGAAAAACGGCATCATATTTGCTTGTTTCTTTGGACCAGTTCAAAGTCTATGAGCCCACGGACTTCACCTTCTGTATGCTTCTGCCTGTGTCTCCCTGACATGTCGGCTTCGCGCTGATAACTACCTTTCTCGTCACGTTTGCTTCCTTATTGACAAAGAAGACTGCAAGGTCCAGTGGGCTTGCAGCCTATATGGTTTGGAAAGAGTCTTAGCCCTACAGGTGGAGGATAGTGGGGAGTGTGTGTGTGTGTGTGTGTGTGTGTGTGAGAGAGACAGAGAGAGACAGAGAGAGCTAAGCTACCTCACAGGTAAATAAAACAATTGGTCAGTCTCAAGGAGTCAAGGAATCCTAGGGGCTTCCTGTCTCCACATCTGTTTTCATAGGGAAGTATAGAGCTAGCTTTTGCAGATACCCAAGGATGTGAGAAAGAAAGCCTATAGAGAGGGGTTCTCTGCCTGGCAATCTGAGAGAAACCGAAAGCTGCACTGCTCAGCTGCTCCACCCTCTGGCAACTCAGTCCGCTGCAAGAACCAGTCTAAAGTTCCGGGCCCAAGACACTCTCTGTAATACCAGGGTCCCAAATCCGGGTTTGCAGTTGCGGCTCATGTTCGCTACAAGCTGGCGCTTGGCTCAGACTCCGGACCAATTTCTCAGGAATCCTGAAAGAACCACCTGAGCAGAGACACTTCCGACTGCGTGCGCGATGCCTAGGAGCTGGAGAGACCCTAGACTGGCGGATCAGGTGTGCAGAGGGAGAAAGGTGAGACTGGAACCCGCGCTCCAGGGAAACAGGAGGCAAGCTCTGTGGACCAGTTCTGTCGGGTTCTACCTGAATCGGGGTCTGGCACGAGCCACAGGCTGACAAGAGACCGGGACTGTCAGGGAAAACAAACTAAGGAGGACTAAAAGCGAGAGCGGGAGAGAGGAAAAGGAGATGGAGAGTAAAGTAGGACAACACACCCGAGCAGGAGTCTCAGGGCTCACCTGGTAAGGGGTGGTTTGGAGCAGAGGCTGCGGGGTCCTGATGGAGCCGGGCCGGGCGGAGGATGCGGTGTGGTGACTCCTGAGCTGGACAGCGGCTCCAGTACCTCCCAGCGCCAGCAGCTGCTCTTATTCTTGCCGCGGTGTGTCGGGAGGGGTCCCGGGGCGCCAGGCAGCCAATGGGTGCAAGGGCCCCGTGCCCCAGACAGATTGCGTCACCTCGGTACTTCCAGAACCCAGAACATCTAGCAAGATGACACTGTTTGAATTTGAATTGAGGTCATTGATGGAAGTGTGTGTGTGTGTGTGTGTGTGTGTGTGTGTGTGTGTGTGTTGGTGGGGAGGGGTTAGGGGATCAATGAGAAATACGCTTAAAATTAGTGGGAATTTGGAGGGCTTTTTGACATCAAGATAAATTTCATCTCTTCTTTCCGTCTTGACTTCGAGCATACCCCGACTCCAATTTCTGCATTATGGAGAGTAGGGCTCAGAACCTCAGGCACGCCTGGCTTCTTGTTTGACTCTAATCATACCCCTACCCTAACCCTCTCTTATGCCCCCGCCCCCCACCCCTGCGCCATTAGCTAGGAGTGAGTTTAGTGCGCCTTTGAGGTGGGTTCTTGAACTGCAAGGTTGACTCTAGCAGCAAGCAGCACAGGGTGATGCTCTTAGGAAGAGGTGTTGTCGCTGGACACAAGGATTGTGTTAGACTTGAGCCTGTTGCAGCTGTCTCATTGAAGGTTATGTGACCACAGACAAAAACAAAAGCAAAACATCAACAACACCCTCCCCCTGCAAAACAAAACCTCAAAAAAAACCTCCATATACTCAGCTTTTCAGTGGGTACCAGAGTCCCCTTTTGAAGGGCCTGCTAGTAGTCAGAAACCCAGGGTGTTTCCTGGGTTGTAAGATCTTTCCCGTTCTCCAGTGTGAATCCTCTCTCCTCAGCACTCTTAATGTGCTTATACAGCTCAATCACATGTGTGAGGAGGGGTTCCATACTCCCCTTGGGGCCAGCTTGGAGTGGGGGGTAGTGGGTAGTGGGGAAAGTACAAAGAAGGAGCAGATGCCTCCAAAGTCTCCGTTTGTAGATCTCTTCTCCCTTCCTGCCTGGCTATCTATCACTTTTCATTAGGGTACCTGCCTGGCTAAGGATTTGCACAGCTGCCTGCTTGCTTCCTGCTGCTGTTTGCCAAGATGTCCTAGTGGCATTTGATCTGGTCCCCCCTCCTATCCCTGCCATTAGATCCCTGACTAAAGAGCTAAAGAGCAGACAGGCTTGACGGTGCTGTGGAGATGCTGCCCATACTAAATCTCACGCTCACTACCCTCCATCCTCATCCTAGCACAGAGACTCCCTTCTATTTCCAAACATGTATTCACTCCAGAAAGCACAGCCACTCAGCAGTCTCTTAGGGTTCACACTCAAATCATCCCAAGCCTGCCTTCAAGTCTCTCCGGCAGTTTATCCCTCATTGCTGCAGGGCGCGGGGCTTTCGCTGTTGGATCTCCTTGTCAAGAACAGATCCGCACATCAGATTAGCTTGGTTTGATCCCCCTCACATCCAATCCACCGGTTTAGAGACTCCCTCTCTCCGAGCAATGAGCTCTAGGCGCAACTACAAGGGCGGAGGTCCTAGCGTGGGCATTTGTTGTGTGGGACAAAGAAGCTTCTTGCTTTTGCAGTTGCAGAGATCTGAGCTGAGAGCGCAGCAGCCAGTCCAGATTTAGCCAGTGCCGCTAGCACAGCGGGGAATCTGGGGACTGCGGGGATCCACAGGGAAGAGGAAATACAAGAATCCAGGCTTCGCATTTCCCTAAACAGGGCAGAAATTGGCTTCCAAGAAGGCTCGAATGGCATGGGCTATGGAACTCGCGGTGTAGGTTCTACCAGGTATTTGTCCTCAGAAGTAGAGTGACAGAACACTTAACTTCCAAGATGCCATCAATGACTTTCCAGCTTAACTTCTGCAGCGGCTACCTTGAGGGAATAAGGCGAGGAAGGGAATCCTTTGCACAGAGCTGGCGCTCAGGGTGGGAACAGGGCTGGGAGAATGGGCTTGGGTGGATGGTGACGACTGGAAACCAGAGCTGGAAACACTCTATGGCCACTGGGCTTAGGATTCCCAGGCACAGTGATCCCTGGGACCTGGAGGTGGACACCCAGAATTGGCCTTCCTGGCTTTCCAGCAGCTTAGTTGTGAGTCCTGGCCTGAATTTTCCTGAGCAATTATAAGACAAGCTGGAGACAAGTTGGCGAGGGCTGAGGTGTCTGTGGCGTGCAGCGCTTGGGCCACTGCCACTTGGGGCTGATGCACAGACTCGGAGAGCGTGTGTGTGTGTGTGTGTTCCCGGGCGCGCCAAATGCATCTGGGGAACTGGTTTCTTCTTTCAGCTCCGGAGATGTCTACTATTTGGGGTCCTGAAATTATTTTTAAGCAGATGTATTCTCTAGGAATGAGCATTTCCTAAGCGGAGAACTCACGGCTCACCACAGCACTGGTTCTCTGGCGGCCACTCGCGGGTTTTAAGCTCTGCCCTGTCTGTGCAGTTTCTTTCAGACTTGTGAGCCCGCCGCCCTCACCCACACCATGAAACCTGTAACTGTGAGCTACCACATCCAGAGGGCGCTGATGTCGCCCGAAGCAGCGGAACAACTGAAAGCTTTAGAAGAAGAATTGTCTATAACAAGAGAAACTCATGCTGTCCCTCGGTCACTCTTCGATTTTGTAGGAGTGCCTGGCAGCACAGCTAAGGGGTTGGAAAGGCTGCAGTTCCTTTCTTTGACTACTAGGGCCTTACCCCGTGCACTAGCAGGCTTTCTGCCAACTGTCAAATGCATGCAAATGAATTCACTTCAGAAAATTCAGTGCTCGGTGCCTCAAAGTCCCTAGCGAACATCAGGATATAGTGAAACCGAATCTTGCTGAGTTCCAAACTCTTCTGCCACAGTTTTCCTATTTCTTTGATAAAACGTTTCCAGGACCAAGACCAGGAAATCTTCCTGGTTTCAATCGCAAAACTGCCCTCCCAACCACCTGCTTTTAGGGAGGGTTGGTGAGACCCCTCTGGGTGGATCTCTGAGATATTTTTCCTGCTTCCAGGAAAGTTGTGAGGGAAAGTGCTGATCTCGGAATAGCAGCTTGGTCAGATAGCTATTTTAAGGTTGGTTGTTGTATAACTTTAAAATCTGAAAATCATCTAATTTCGAAGCATTCTAGCTTGGAAAAGGACTGTTTTACAACATTCCAGGAAATCCGAACTGTCATATTTATTCTCATTCATTTCAGTCAGATTCCTGCATGTTATGATTTTGAAATAAAATTATAGACCAAATCTTATAGAAGAATCCTATACCGATTTACATATGATCAAAAGGTTTACATGTAGTATGTAGTAAAAGCTTAACTGAGCCATTCAGTAGGGAGTAAACAGATGCTATCTGGAGAGACTATAAAGACAGAGAGTTCAGAGCCCACATTAAAGTTAATGCTCCTCTATAGTCTACATGTGATACCGACTCAACAACAAAATCACAGCCACTCCAGTGTGGGAGTCCTCAGAGCAGAATCACATTCTTTTTTCCCTGGCAAATATTTGGAACTGTCAAATGAACTGGGAGACTTCTGATGAAGTTTGGTTGTCCTGGTTTAAAATGGCAGGAACCAAAGCTTTGGTCACCGAGATCACTGAAGAACAGAACTGATTTTGAATGTTTCCTGAGGTACCTTTAGAACCTATTAAAGCATAAGGCAAAATGAAATGGCTGGCAAAGAAGCAGAAATAGCCATGAAGCAGCCAAAGTGTCCACTGATGGATGAATGAAAAAGAAAAAAATAGTTCTATCATATACATTATATAACATGCATGTGTATTTTATAAATGCCGCACATATATTTATAGATAACACATATGTTATATAGACAATATATACATGGCTCATCCTTAAAAAGAAGGAAAACTTGTCATTTGAAACTTGGTTTTCTGTAACTCTCAGTTATAGCAATACTGCATTGTCCACAGGAAGAAAGAGTAAGAGAAATAAAGCAGGCACCAAAAGCCAAATACTTTATTACCTCACTTGCATGTATAATTTATAAAAACATTGAACTCAAGTAACAAAGCACAGAATTGAATCCTGGGGAAAGAGGTGGAAGTAAAGGGTCTAGGGACCTTTGAGTTGTAAAGTGGCTAAGTTCCAAAGACCCAGTCATACAGAATAGTGACTACAGATAATAACAATAATTATACTTGAAATTTGCTAAGAGATTAGGACTTACGTGCTCCCATCATAAACACACATACACACACACGCAGAAATAGTTGTGAGGGATGAATTTATTAATTAGCTTAATTGATAATCATGTTACGGTATCTATGTATATAAAAACTCATTTTGTATATTTTTAAAAATAAAACACTTTAATATATGGAAGCATAAAAATTTAGAGAAAAGATAGAGAAGTGAACCATGATCTTTTGTGGAGGTCTTCAGAGCAGATGCATCTGTGTAGATACAATTTATCTAATACATATTGCATGTATGGTAAGCACTAACATTATATAAAATATATTGAAGTTTAAAAAAATACAAAATGTTATAAATATCCAAACTTGAGCCAGTAGGGTAGGTCATGGGTAAAAGTGATTTCTGTGCCAGCCTAATGATCTAAATTCATTTCCTGGAACCATGGTGAGGGCAGAAATGGTTTTGAAAATTGTCCTCTAGCTTCTGTGTGTACAGTATAACATGACACCTACACTCACTCACTATAATAAATAAAATAAAAATATTAAAACTACATTCAATTCCATCTGTGTGTCACCAACTATATTTTCTTTTATAGTCTCAGCAGCTTATCAAGATAACTTGTATTGTCTGTAGACAAAGGAATAGCAAGAGTGTTTGTCTAGAATTAATTCTATTTTCTAGGATTCTTTTCAGTACTTAAATGTCAGGACATGGCTTATCAGTTTGCCATATCAGGCAGGAGGTCTGGGTCCTTGGATCTAGGGACAGACTCAGAAGAAGATATAGTTATGTCTGTCCTCCTCAGGGCTAATGTGATTTGTGGTGAGAGGCTCAGTGACCAAGCATAAATCATTTATAGTTTCTGGACCAAC